GGCTGCCGCGACGTTGCCGATGCTCGGTGGAGTTGGGCTGGTGTTGAAGTGTGAATTTTTTTTAGTATAAAGTTTTCTCCCTCGCTGTCACTTTTCTTAGTTTTCATTATTCCTCCTGCTGCCCTAGACAGTAGGTTTATGGGAGTGTAGGTGCAGCTGAGTGACTGGAGCAAGCAGGTGACTGTGGCATCTCTAGGGGAGCTGTGGTGCCCCCAATCCCTAAAGGCCAAGAAACCAATTTTTTTTTTTTTCTTTTTCAGTAAAAAAAACCGCCCAACTTGTGTCCATACACCAGGTGCCCACGGGCAAATCTCCCTGGCTGTCTGGCAGGCCTCCCAGGTGAGGGCTGTGGTGCCACGCTGGCCTGTCCCCTCCCGCTCACCCTGATGGCCGCTCTCCCATGCACCCCAGGCAGCTCTCACAGGCTCCCCCAGGAAACACTTTTAGCCTCACATTAGTGTTCAGGGAAATCGGATTTGGATGGGGTGAGTCTGGGCAGAGGTGAGAAGGGGTTTAGCTGCAAGGAAGCCGCTTGCCTGCGTTGTGTTCAGCCGCCCTTGACCCATGTGAAGCTCCCCTGCTGTGGGATGGGGCCCTGCTGGGAGAGGGGTTCAGTGCCAGGGGCTGGGTTTGGGTCCTGGTGACTGCGGAGAATGAGGAGGAGAAGCAGTGTCCTGCAGCACTGGGCCTTGGGCAAGGGCTGTGTGGTGGGACTGGGGCTCCCCTGCTGCTCCCAAAGAGGAGTGGTGTTCACACACATCTTGTTGGTGCCTTGCCATCCCAACGGAGCTCCTCCGTGGCCTCTCCACGGGACGAGGAGCGGGGGCAGCCAGCCCACACAAGCCCGTATCGCTCCGCTCTTCATCCATCTTCCCTTTAGATGACATTTAAACGGTCGCTTCTGATATTTTGGATTTAACGGCAGGCTCCTGAGCTCGCTAACAGTCCCTGGGAGGTGAGGCTGGGCTGAGCTGGGCTGTGGGAATCCCTGCTCCCCGAGGCAGCCGTGGCTCTGCCATAGCCGAGTGGCTTTTTGTTCCACAACAACCTGACCCGCCGCCCTGCGCGGTGGGGAAAACAGCCCGGCCGGCCACGCCGCTCGGCAGCCTGAACTGCCATCAGCTGAGCTCTGCGGCTGGACTAAGAGCTGGAGATGCTGAATGAGCCTATTAATTACTTTTATATTTCTGTATTAAATATTAAAAAACAAAAGCAGGACTTTAAGTCCGTTCCCTTGCGGTGAGAACGAGTAAACAAGCGATAGCTTATCCACAGAGGTGTTGATTTGAATCACGCATCCAAAGTACTGAAACAGATGAGCAATTAGTGGTCATCACAGGGCCGGATTATTTTAACATCCTTAATTTATCTGTTTTTTTTTCTTTGTAAGATAAACTTGTCGTTTAGCAGCAAATTGGATCTGCAGCTGCTGATTGCAGAATGGCGTAACGCTGCACAAACAGCTCTTTGCTGCGTCCAAAATGGACACGGCCATTAGAGTTCTTCTTAAACATCCAAATGTTCTGGTTTTTGTTATTTTTATTGTTGTGAACACTTTTAAATGCTCCTTAGGGATCTGATCCTGTGGCCACGTATGTTTAAAACACGCAGTTTTTATCCTCCAGAGCTTTGCCAGAGACTCCGTGCTACAGAGGTATCAAGGTAGTCTCTTAAAAGTGGAAACCAATATTAATTAAAAGTGTGAATCTGACATTTGATCTGATGCTCCTGGTGCATCTGAGAAAATAATGAGCCACAGTCATTTTTCATAAAACTGTGAGGGGTTTTCTACAAGCTCTGAGTTCCACCAGATGTTTACAGCTGACGGCACACTTCGCTTAGCAGAGATTTTTATTTTCAGTTCTACCAGTTACAGGGCTGGGGGAGAGGGAAAATTTTCAACAAAGATCTTACTTATAGAGCAGCTTAATGCTTGTCATGGATGTGTGATGGAAGTGATCTGTCCATAACCCCGTGTCCCAAATCCTGGGTATGAAGCATGAATGGCTGATACACTGTTCTGTTTGATTTCAAGTCCTGGCACCAAAGATTCAGGCTGTGTGGTGTGATTCTCAGAATGATGCCAGCATATAAGTTACATTTCAAACAGCTTGATCCAGTCACTCTTGTGTTTTATGACTTCTTATGGGAACATCACTTTCCTATCCTGACCCTTTCACAGAGAAGTCATGTTGAATGCAGAGGACAAGTGGTATCCTTCCCCAGTCTGTTGTTTGTGAGCATATACCTGATGCTGTAATTTCACAGTTGCTGTTAATACATCCCAGATTTATAATATGACTTTCTTTATAAAGCAAACTTGCTTTTTAAAACAAAGGAAAACTGAAGTTGGAATGTGTAAATGTCAAAATGAAACAGATAACAGAGGTAGTTTAGGAGCATTAGTGTCAAGTTAGTTGATATTTCTAACATCGTATCTTTTCTTGTGACTTCACTTGACAATTTTTCTGCCAAAATTTTCTATTTTCTTGCCTGGAACATGTGGGTCCAAAAGTGCAGCTTCTACATCAGTTACCTCTCAGATGCTTTTAGCAGAAATAGCAAGGAGAAACTCCTTTCAGGAGAAAAAGCTGCCCAAAGCAAAAAAAAAACCAACTATGACCCAAAGCAGTGGGAATTCTGAATGTAAGAGATGCAACATCAATCTCCTGCTGGTGTGTAGAGACTCGTAAATAAGATTGCAAATGTGGAGGACTTCCAAATAAAAATACTAGCTTACAGCCACTAACAGGCTGCTAATAAAGATTACTTCATCTAATCTTACTTAAAGTATATTTATAAAATGCAACGCTGCCAAGTTAGATGGCAGTGTGGATAAGATGCATGCTGAATCAATTAATTGTATATAGGTATTCCTGCCCTGTTTACAGTGAGTAACAGCACTCGAGTATTTAATGCGCTCTCAGTTACGCAACACTGGGACTGTTTGTTCTTGCTCTGGAAAAGCAGTGTTTTGAAACACTTAAATCTTGTCACAGATGACTCCAAGTGACGTGGGAGGTTTGGACTGGGCTGTGACAAGGCATGGTGGGGTAGAACTGGACCTGTACTGGACCCTCCTCTGGACGGTGCCGGGGCCAGCGGGTGGCAAGTTGTGGAAGTAGCCCAGGGCAGGATACAAACAACCAAGTCATATTGTATGCTGACATTTCATTTGTAGCATGTAACAAGGGGCTCCTTTTGCCTGAAGCACACGAGTTTCCCTGGGTGTCTGCTTGCTGTTCCCATGGAGATGTTTCAAAAACTGTCTGTTTCTCGTTGCCAAATTATGGAGTTATACTGTGTGGGCCCCATCCTCTGTCTTCCTCTTGCTCAAAACTAACTGGGTGCATGAGGGCTTTTTCATCTGTCCTCTGGCTCAGGTTTTAGTTTGGATAAATGCTGCCTCAGTTGCAAAGAGTCTCCCTGGGAGAGAGCCTGAACATGCTTGACTCTGCCATCAATGGAGACTGAAGAGCCTCGGGACTCTTCAGGAGTACTTGTGGTTTTATTTCATCAGATTTTTCTACCATTAGATTTTTATTTTTTTTCCCTTTCTCCTCCCCATCACACTCCCCTTGTTCTCTCTTCAGATATTTATTAACAATGAATGGCATGAATCTACAAGTGGAAAGAAGTTCCCCACCTACAACCCTTCAACGCTGGAGAAAATTTGTGACATTGAGGAAGGAGACAAGGTGAGTATTGTTGGAAAAGCTGTGCAAAAGACAGTTTCCAAGGGACTCCTTTTTGCAGGAAAGCACACAGAGGCAAAGCTGGCTTTTAACAGCAATGTACATCTGGTCAGGCTCTGAGCTAGAGGTCTGGGACCCTAGGTGTGCTGCTCAGGAATTATATGGTGTGGGTGGGATCAATCCTGTCCAACTGCTGAGTCCCTTTCCCTGGTAGGACCTGCCTGCCCAAACATTCGCAGTTAAAACCAAACAAGTATCTCAAGAATTTTAGTAGTCACTGGCCCTGATGGGCTGTAGATTAGCCTGGTACATTACTGCTGGGGTTTGGTAACAGTCTGAGGTGAGGAACAATCAGATGTGACAGTTTTTGTCCAAAACAGCTCATCATGTATGGGCCAACTGGCCTGACCTGTGGGAAAGAGCTGGACCAAGAGCTGCCTTTGTGCCATATGTCATGGGAGGGTGATTCACAGCTTTAGGCTTTGGCTGCTCATTGCTGTGGGCAGTGTGGGCATTTCTGCCTGTGCTACAGGATTTTTTTCTTGGTATCTAAGCTTGTCCCAGTGCCTGGTTTCCAGCCACGTAGCTGCCTTGGGGATCCTGTCCTAGTAGGAGTGATACTAGCTGAGCAGGAGCAGTGTGTTTTGTGGTATTACACTGGGCAGAGTACAGAGCCTGACCCTTCTGGAGATGGGAGCAAACTTCCTCAGCAACACGAGTGCTCAGCCTGCATGCCAATATTGTCTGAGGTAGCTGCTCTTTTTGGATGGCACTAAAGCAGCTTCTGAGACCTCTTGCCATGGGGGATCTGCACAACCATGGGGCAGGGAGATTGAGGCAGAACCAAACATTATGTGCAATTTCTTTATACTAACTGAGCAAGACACAACTGTGTTTAATTGCAGTGGCATGTAAACAAGTGGAGTTGAAGCTAACTCTGATGCAACTGTACTTTGCTGGGCAGAATCCATGACGTTGTTATTGTTCCCTGAGCTAAGTGTCTCCTCAAGCAGTTAGAGCATTACAGGAGTATTTCAAGTTTGCTTCTTAATGACTTCGTTAAAAAAAAAATTGTTATGCAGAACTAAAAGGCCAGTTTTGCAGCTTGCCTCCTTGAGACTTGTCCCTGCCTGAATTCAAGGATAAATTTCAGCTTCTAGCTTGCAGGAGAGTCCATGTAAACTTTCCTTGGGGCCAGCCAGTGGAGCTCTCTGTGCATGGATGCTCAGCTTAGGTGCTTGACATCTCAGTGCATAGAGTAGTTGCAGGCAGGAATGTAAGTGAGCTGCAGCTTGGCTGCTGAAAGCCTCTTCTTCCAACCCTTAACATCACACTTTTTTTTTCTTGTTTAAAATAATTTCTTTCAGTAGGTTTTTGTGAGGAACTGTGGGGTTAGACTTGGGTCTGGATTAGCTAGAAAGCCCAGTCATGGTTAAGAAGCATCCCAAAGTAGCTGTTTGGCTACAGGTGACACTTGACCACATCCCGTTGTCCTCTGGCAAGCTGAGACCCCTGAGCCTTCCCTTGCCCTTGCTGAACATCCCCTCCTAGCTCTATCTCCAGTCTGTTGGAGCCACCACAGCAATGGCACACTGTGGTTGGTGGTGCTTTAGAGTCTTGTCCCCACCCTACATGGCCGTGCTGGTCGGTGGCAGTTCCTGGTGCAGGCTCTGCCTTCAGCTCTGCTGTGCCAGGGTTGGCTCTGCCTTCACGGCAGGCTGGGGGCTGGACTCTGCTAGCCCTGACCACAAACCTGCCCCTCCCTGACCGTGCAGAGTGTGTTTTGCTTAGCCTGCACGTGAGGGGTGGGAACTTGGCAGCTGATGTCTCAGCGATGACAGTTTAGTCTGGTGCTGAAACTTGGCCAATGCTTTATGAGGCTTGGAGCAAAAGTTTTGTTGTTTGTTCTTTAGTTACAGAATTTAAGACAGAGTTTCCCTGGATGGTATAGTTGGGGGATAAAGGAAGTCTTGTGTGGAAAAAGAAGCACTGAAAATAAAATGGCAAATGCTTCCACTGGGTGCTTGGAGGCTTTTTGGTTCCCAAATAGTGGCTTAGTGTCCATGTGTTTGCCAGGTAGATAACAGAGAAGGAGTAGTTTTCTTCATTAGACTTCTGTCCCCAGCAAATAGTGCAGCCCCAGAACTTCACCCTGCCTTGGTGTTACCACGTGAAGGCAAAAATACTCACGCTACTGCCATTTCTCTGGTGCTGTTTGTAACACTTGAAGCCAGACTTTTTCCCTCTAGCAGATTGCAAACGTGCAGCAAAGGCATGGGGGAAAGTGCTCCTTCCTCAGAGTGCCCCCTCAGCTGGCTGCCACAGAGCATGGGCAGCAGGCCCACAGCTGACTGTCGAGCAGACTCGAGGCTGTGCAGCATGTTGTGATCATTTCTAAGCAGTCCCCTCTCCCATGTAGATCTTTGAAGGGTTGTAAGAGGGTTCTGTTCACAGTCATCCTACCCCTTTGGATTGCAGTGGCAGGCTGAGGTAAGAGGCTGTGGGAATATCATTCCCTCCAGCAGACTTGTGATGCCCTCAACAATGTTTGGGATGCTTTGGGCTGTTAAGATACTGTTTGTAGCTGGCTTGAACTTGGATTCAAAAGTTAGAGCAATGCAAGGTGTGGACTGTTGGCAGAGGCTTTGCAGGGGAGCAGGTCTTCTCACTGAGAAGCCGTGGCATGCTCATGTGCCAGAAAAGTGCCTTCCCAAAGATGTACACGTGGGGGCTTTTGGAAGAAGTCAGTAACTGGAGAAAGATGGTCCCCACTGGGTGTGCTCCATCCCTGGCACCTCCCCACACTGGCCAAACTGAGCCTGGAGCAGAGCAAGGCCTTTCTGCAGGTCTGCTCCCTCCTCACAGAGACAGTGGGTGCTGCCTCTGCTGTGCTCTGCAGCCTCCTGCTGAGGCAGGAGAGAGGAAAAAGGGGCAGGACAGAAACAGAGCAGCGATGAGCAGGACTTGAGGTAGAGGAGGGAGGTGGAGGAGGTAGCCTGGAACAAAGGCTGGTGTGAGTTTGTTCAGGGAAGATGGTATGTGGTTGTGTAACTGGGGGGTGTAGCATAATGCAAACACCCCAGGTGGGTATGGAGGTTTGCTGGCATTTCCCAACGCTGCAGTGCCTGGCTTTGTAATCTTCATATTCTCTTAGTGGAGCTTTTTATGTAATGCTGGTTAAATCTGTATAGATCAGAACGGAGCACCAGGATGCACAGACCTCGTCCTCCTCCTCCTCCTCCTCCTTGTGGTTTTGTGCACCACAGCCTGTCCCTGGCACCTTGACAGTTACGAGTCTTTGTCACGCATTGTGCCTACCTATTGCAACATGCCTGCAGTGAACATGCCATTCAGACTCCCCTAATGCCTAGTCATAACAGGATGGATTAAGAGTGGCATTTCAGCCTTCCTGAAGAATTTCCTTGTTTTTGCTGATCTCTCAGGCCTTTTGAGGCTGTACAACTCAACGAGATCTCACTTGGTGGTGCTACCCCTGAGGGTGTTCTGGGAAAGTCTTTTTGCTTGTGTGATAGTGACTGCAGCGGCCACACCATGAGGTGTACCCAGCATGTCTGAGAACAGAGACAAGAATGAAGCCAGCTAGTATTGGCAGGAGCTAAAGCAGGGCTCAAGTGCTCCCGTGTTTAGAGAATGGGGAAGATCTGGGCATGGATTGAAGTCTTCTGGCCACACGGCCATCTCATCCCTGTTCCTGTGAGCACTAGGGTGGTGGGAAGTCCCTCAGAACCAAGGGCTTGCTGTGTTGTGGCTTCTGCCACCACAGACCCGATGCTCTGCATGTCAGTGCTCCCAGAGTGGTCACAGCAACTAAGTAATTGCTGCTAAGGGGAGGCTTGTTTAAACCTGACACACATCTCATGTTTCTCTGTCTGCTTTGTGACATGAAATATTGCCTTCTTTCAACTTGAGCCTCCCTTCCAGCAGGCAGGATGGGAAGTACATAAGCATGCAGTGCTGGTGGTGCCTTCTGGCTTTTGTGATGTGCCAGTTTGAATCCAGATCAACTCAACTGAAGCAAACCATTCTGAAGGCCCATTCTGCCTGGGGGTGATGGGCCCTGGGCAGGACACGCCCATCTTCACACAGTGGCTGCTTGTTCCCTCTGCCTCACCAGCACCTTTGCTTCACCAGAGCTCATCTTCACCCCTTGTAACAACACGTTTCCTCCAATGGTTTCTCCACCAGTGCCCTTCCAAAAGGATGGGGTTCTTTTTCTGCCAGTATAGGTCAGGCTGTTTTAAAGCTGTATAATCTTGTGAAGTAATTGATCCCAATTTAGTGTAAGGTGCCATTTCAGTGAGTGGTGACTTGCTGTTTTCTCCACGAACTTTTGCTGTAAAAAAGCAACCCGTGTCCCCATAACATTTTTCTTGGTTGAGCACCACATATTTCCCCGTGAGAGGAGAATGGCTTATTTTGTAATTGTATCCAGACAAGACTTGAGAGAAGATATAAAGGAGAGCAACTGGTGAAGTGCTATGAGGAGCAATCAAGGCCTGAAACCCTCCCTCCTTTCCCACCCCCTTGAGCCTCGTGTTGTGTTGAGGTGCAAGTTCTCCAACTGAAGTGAAGCATGGGCAGTGCCAGACTTTACACAGAGCAGGATTTTGTCTAATCCCAGGGTGAAATGTGCTTTATGTATGCTCAGGGTACAGTTCTGGCCTCGTGGGTGGTGATGGTGATGTTCCCATTGACTTGGTTGGCTCTTAGCTTCACTTCTGAAATCAATGTTTGTGGGAAGAAAGGAGGAGTCCAGGGCATATGTGTGGCCAGAGCAAATGGCATGAAGCTTCTCTGGGGGGGGTGGTGGTATGGGCAGAGAGGGAATTTGCTGCCCACCAGAGTAGCTCCTTGGGTAACCAGGGTTAGATTTGGTCCAGAGTGTGGTGAGACAAAGGGAGAGGGGCACTAAGCCTGTGGAGGTGAAATGCCTTTGTCATAGCACTGAACAACAAAACCCCTCCCAGCTGGCAGAGGTGTTCTGGAAGTGTGATCTAGGACCTAGGGGAGCTTTTTCAATGTGTTAAGTGTTACTGGCATGGGTTCCAGTGGGACTGAATGATGGGATCTGAGCTGTGATTGTTCCCCTGGATAAAACCATGATCTCTGTTGTGGGGGATCTTCCTTCCCACACTTGTCCAGAGGAGCAGGATGATTCATGCAGGCCAACAGCCCGTCATGCTTAGGGAAACTCATAGGAACAGAACGGGGATCTTGTTTCTCCATCCTCCTCCAGTGTCACTTACATCCTGTATCAGCAGGAACAGGACTCTGGATTGTTGTATAAACAAAGCAATTGCATAAAATGACCCTTGAAAGACCCTGTTGGTACTCTGACCCCACGGCTGTTTACGAGCCCAGGCCAAACCCAGAACTCATTGCAGACTTAAGTCCAAATCCAGGAGGGAAATGGAAGTGGTTTTGTCAGGCAGCTTGGCTTTAGCCATGACAGCATCACCTGGGAAGTAGCCCGATGGGGTTTTTGTGCCATTGTCCAGCTCCTCCTTTGTCACCTGAGTTTTTCTTGTGCATGTGCTGCTCTAGCCTGATGTGGACAATGCGGTGGAAGCAGCGAAGGCAGCGTTCCAGAGGGGGTCTCCGTGGAGACAGATGGATGCCCTGAGCAGAGGACAACTCCTGCACAAGCTGGCTGATCTTCTTGAGAGAGACAGAGTCATCCTGGCAGTAAGTACTGTGATGGGTGAGCAGTGATAACCAGCAACTGCTGGCTGCTAGCTCAGCTCCAACCCTCGGATTTTGCTGCATCCATATCTACTTAATGCTTTTTCTCTCCCTTTATGAAGGGCAGAAGAGTCCATGCAGGAGTCATGGCTTATCTTCCTCATTCTGCAGGATGATTTTAGGAGCCTTAGAAGAAGGTTGTTAGTTCTTCTATATAGGTTGACTTCTCCAAAACTTCAGCTAGGTATCAAAGTGATTAGACATTAGTACTTGAATTTTCAGGGCAATAAACATGTTCTTTCTTAGTTTAACAGTCTTCAATGTTCATAGAATCATAGAATGGTTGGGGTTGGAAGGGACTTTAAAAATCATCTAGTTCCAAACCCCTGCCATGAGCAGGGACAGCTCTTACTAGACCAGGTTGCTCAAAGTCCCATCCAACCTGGCCTTGAACACTTCCAGGGATGGAGCATCCACAACTCCCCTGGGCAACTCATTCCAGTGTCTCAGCACCCTCATAGCGAAGAACTTCTTTCTATCTAATCCAAATCTCCCCTCTTCCAGTTCGAAGCCATTATCCCACTGTCCATGTCACTGACAAAGATGTTAAATGTTACCGGTCCCAGTGCCAACCCCTGAGGAACACCACTTGTCATAGCTGTCTCCCAGTTCTTATCTTAAAAAACCCAAACAAACCCAAACCACAAACAAACAAAAAACCCCAAAGCAACCAGCAAACAAATCTGAAACAAATGACAACAAAAAAAATTCCCCAAACCACTACAACTGACTCAGTCCTTCTTTATTACAAAAATGCAAGGCCAGGTTGACTTCTTTGCAAATTGCTTCCCCTAAAATGTGGGGCTGGAAAGAGAATCCTTCTCTTGTGGGATGTCATCCAGAGTTTAAAACGTGTAAGTGGGAACTGTTTCTTTCCTTGGCTCAGGAAATTCTCTTCATAGCCATGAAGCTGTGTTAACTTGGACTTCTGCATTGAGAAACTATTGCTAATGATTCCCCATCCTGTCCTTGAGGAATCCTTCCAGTGCAGAACAAGGGGAGCAGGACCCAACCTAAAATGTGCTGCACTTGGTAGAAGCTGTTAGACCCTATGGGCCTTGGACATATTTCCAAATCACACCCACAGATCCTAGCATCTCTCAGCTCAGGGCAGCTAAGGTCTTGGACCTGAGCACTCACCAGTTCACTTTGGCTTTGCTTATCTTCTGAGGAGGGCATTTATGACATTCAGTGCTGTTAAATACCTTTAAGTTCCTGAGCTGATGTCCCAGTGAGGTCAGTAGGACTTAACATACATGGGGTGTGCTAAGGAACCTGTACTTGTGTGACTGTTTTGAGCTGGGTCAGTTTCTCCAACATGGTGTCTCTTAACCACATGACAGCCTCCAGTTGCAGCAGGCCAAAACCAAAAAGTCCAGGTCTGAAGGCAATTGTGGCCAGCAAATAAAAGGGGGCAAAAAAAAAAAGTGTGTGAATACACCCTGCTTGTTTTCAGCTCACTTTTTGATGTGACTTCAAAGGACTCTCCTTTTTCCATAAACCAGGACACTCATGTTGAGCTTCCTGCTGCCTGTCTGACCTGGGAGGGCTTGTTTGGCATTATTTTCCCTGCAGAAAACCAGCCTTGGCTGCGTGCTAAGTAATGACTTATAAAAATCAGTTGTTTTAGCAGACATTCAGAGCAGATAACAATCCTAGTCATTCCAAGGGGAATGTCTGTTTGAGTGCTGTTTGGACCCTAATGTCTGTGGAAGATGACAGGGTATGACTTCATATGTAAACAAAGATGTTTCCATCTACCGAGGGATAGTGCTTCCTTTATGGATGTGCTGGCCATGTGCACCAATATCCCATTTAATGTCCTGAGCCCTGAACAAAGCATTCACTGAGCTAATGTCCAGAACAGTGAGAAGGACACAGGCTGAGACTGGACTTCATTTAGAGCTGCTCAGCATCCGTGCAGCTTTAGTGAAGCATCTTCTCCCTTGCCTTAGTCTCAGCACAGATCTGAGCCCAAAGGTTACTTTACCAGAAACTCTGTAAAAAAAAAAAAAAAGTGTTTTCTATCATCCTGTGGACAAAAGAGGCTTTTCAGAGGTCAGTGTTAGGGCTATGAAGTAGAAAAAATAGATTTCTGAATAAAAGGAAAGCAGATCTGACTGATTTCAGTGACACCATCTGGAATCCAGAACATCTGCATCTGAGGGTCACAGTGAAGTCCTGATACATCATTTCTCACCAGTGCCCCAGAGCCCTGTATCCCACCCACAGCCACCTTCGGGGGCTTCTGGAAGATGCACTCTTGGTGGAATCACTGAACAAAGCAACTCCTGTACATGTCAGAGTTACTGGGTCTAGTCTCCCTTCTGCTTTATTTGTATTAACAACCTCCTTCCTTAAATATAAGGGGAGAGAAGGAAACCCCATCTCTGCAGCACAAGGCAAAATAAAACTGAGAAGGAGTTTCTCTAAAAGCTTTTTTTTTAAAGAAAAGAATATTTGACTTGTCTTTGAATTGTCATGACTTTGACAGCACATGCAATTTGGTTTTTTTTTCAGACTCTGGAAACAATGGACACAGGAAAACCATTTCTGCAGGCTTATTTCATTGACCTGGAAGGCTGTATAAAAACACTCCGGTATTACGCTGGATGGGCTGATAAAATCCAGGGCAGAACTATCCCAGTGGGTAAGTTCCTTCAGACCCAGTTTCAGAGCTGGGAAGGGATCGGGCTTGAGGGGGTGAGATGGAGATGCTGGAAAGGTCAGCTTCTGAAAACCTGCAAAAGCAGCCTGCATTTCTCTTCTGTCTCAAGATGTGTTTTAAGTATGTGTGTCAAGATTTAGACTAATGGGAGAGCAATGTGAATGCCTGGAGAGATCTCTGGAAAATAATGGACGGGCTCTTTTGTTGCTTTTTTTTAACAGGGAAACTTTTTTTGTGTTAAATTCAGATTACTTCTTAAAGAAAAAGCTCCACATGTTTTAGGGGAGTTTATTCATTAGGTAGCACTGAACTGAAGTAAGATGCCAGAGGGCGTAAGGACAGAGGTTTCTAGGGAGAACTGGCTGAAGGCAGCACAGCTTGTGCTGTCCTGGATGCCACAGGGATGGGGCAGAGGGTTGATGTGGAATCCACCAGTGTCTCCCACCTCACTGATGTTCCTGCATCCCTGATGGTGCTGGCTCACAGATATTTAGAGAACTCATGTAGTGCTTTTTCTTACTTTTTATTAAAAAGAAGGTCCGAGATGTTGATTCCCCTCAGGAGCCAGAGCACTGAGCTCTTGGAGGGACTCTGTCAAGTTTTCTGACACTTGAAAAAGGTCTTTCAAAATGTTTCCTGGGCTGCAGAGCCAGAGCAGTCACACCACCCTGTTTTGGCAGGGACAGGGAGAACACTTTGGCTCAGCTATGTAAGTACAGGCATAGATTTGGGGAGAACAAGTTGAGACAATGGATGTCCACGTGGCACAAAGAACATACAGTGTATTGTCAAAATCAGCCTCTTTTGTCCCTGCGAGTGAGTGATCATGGAGGCTGTATGAAGGACAGGGACTGCAGGCAAAAATTAGTCACCAGCAGAAGGGCTCTGAAGGGCTGAACTAGTCCAGGATGTGCAGGCAGCAAAGGGAGCAACGTCAGTCATATCAACTGAGATCTGTCACCCTCACTGAGAACAACGTGAAGCTTTGCTTGCCTGGACACTGCTCGTTTGTCCTGATCTGAGATCACTTCTAAAAACTGTAATGAGAAATGTTCATGTTTTCCATCAGATCTTCCCAATGAAACTAAGTTTTCAGCAAGAATCAATTTGTAAGGAAAATGCCCTTCCTGCTTTCTCTTTGAAAGAAAAATTGGGTTTAAAAGCTTTCCCCCTCAGGGAAACAAGTGCTTTGCTGCTTTCAGTGAGACACAACCTGAATGAGATTTGTGCCTGCTCTTCAGCATGCTGGGAGTTATCCTCCCCTTAGCCTCAGCACAGGGACTTTGCAGGAGGAATTGAACCCCTGGTTTTAAAAGGCTCCACTGTGAGCAGCGTTTGGGTTTTGAGCTAACACGAGCCCTATTCTCATCCAGACCTTCATCCTCCTGGGGAGTCCCAGAGGTGTGAGTTAGGATGAGCAGATGTAGGGTTCTTTGTCTAATATGGTTTTAGTTCTGTTTCCAGCCTATTATTGTGCAGTTATCTTATGTTCTTTCTGTAGAAGCAAGGATTTTGACTGGCTTGTCTTCTCTCTTTTGCCTTGTAGATGAAAATTTTGTCTGTTTCACCAGGCACGAGCCGATGGGTGTCTGCGGAGCTATAACTCCAGTAAGTAGCAGTGATGGTGCCCTGCACCTCCCTTAGAGCTGGAAGAAGTCCACGTGCACTCCCTGCCTTATACTGCAGCCAGTTGCTTCCTAGTTAAGTACAGCTGTTGTGCAGGGAACTCCCATCACAGTTGCCTGATGTAGTTTCTTGGTTTACCCCCGTGCCAATTGCTCTTGGCAACACAAAGTCCTCTGCAGTGGAAGGGTGGGTCACCTCATCAGCTGCTCTGTTCCTCCTAAGGCTGACACTGGTCACCAGAGACCAGTCAGAGCTCTCTGACTCTTGCACTGCTGGGACAACCTTCTCATCATTATGTGTGCTGGCTTTTTGCTGCCTAGTGCTGATGCATACTTTTGGGTTTTAAATCATATCCATTATTAATAACCCCTGGCTGTTCTCAGAGCTTTCTGTGATTAAATCTCACTTGAACAGAGTTTTCTTTTCCTTGAGGTCCCATTCTTTGCTGAGGGGACAGTGTGGCTAGTTCTTGGAATACCTCCAGTTCTTGTGTGTGTTGCTTGCTCTGGTTAAAGAGACAACCAGGAAGACTTTATGGCTGCATGGGACACAATGTGTTCCTGCCTGTGTTCTTTGAACATGTATCCTACAGGCCACGAGGCAAACATTGCTGTGCCAAGATTCTCTGTTTGGACACTTGGATCAGTATGAGTCCATGGAAGATTTTGACCTTTGGGTTATAGCAGAGAGTGAAAGAAATACATGTGGGGTATTGGATTTGCTGGACCCTAGGAATGCCAGTTCCCAAAAAATATTTGGGGAAATTTTGCTTTTTCCTTCAGGATAAGCATCTTGCAAAGGGATAAGGATAAGGGATAGGACAGTACAGCCTGTTTAGCATATCAAGGTGAGGCAAAGTGGAGGTGGTCGGTACAAGCTATCAGAAGTTTGGCTTGATGACTTCTGCACAGCTTTTGTGGCTGAACAAGCAACATGACTGCTTGGGAGCAACTAGAATTTGTGATTTGAGATCAAAATGTCAGATTCCTCATGTTGCTCCCCAATGAAAAGCTGTCTCCTGGTCACACTTCAGCCACCTTTGGCACTAGCAATGCTTTTGAAAACTCTCCCTTTAAAAGCCTATGTGTGGGATGCTTTGGAAGGCCACTGTGTGGGGACATAGTGGGACTCCTAGTATTTCAGGTTGACCTTACATCAGCAATAAATACAATAGAAAGTACAGAACCAAATTTGACTCAGGTTCAACACTGTGTTTGTAAAAAGGATGATTTGGGTCAACAAAACCATATTTATCTTCAGTTTACTTAGAACAAATCCCCTTCATCTTTTTTTTCCAGTTTGTTCTCTAGCAGCAGTAGTGAGTTTGTATATTCCTATTTGATTTAAAGAGATTCTGTCAGTATTCTGCTTATGTCTTCCTAGACCAATTAACAATCCTCCCTTTTCCTGTAGCTTCATTGCATTAAACCAATGTTCTTTAGCAAAGGGATTTCCTAGAAAGTGGGGCATATGACTGAGCTAAAGCTTAGTCCCAAGGTGATGTCATGAGGCAGCCCTGCAGTCCTTTCCTGTTACTTTCACCAACCATTCTGCTACAGAAAGCTCCTAATAGAGTTATGTCATACTCTGGAAGTGTAGACAAGTGGTGTAGGTGTGGATAGCTCAAGCTGCAAGGTCAGGCCTTCCAGAAGGCTTAGGAGAAAAGACAAATCATGGGATGTGGCCATTGGAGAAAAATCACTGAAACAAAACAGGTCTGGGAAAGAGGGAGAGGCAAGTTAAAGAATGGTACATTAGACTGAATTCTGCTTTGTCTCAGGGCTGCTGGATTAGAACAGAACTCATCTCTTAAAAGCTACCCTGCTAATTTATTTGTAAGTGTGAATTTGTGGATTCCTAACATATTTGGCTTCTTTGTTGATAGCTGAAGGCCCTTGGCTTGAGCCTTGACAAGAAGTCTCCTTACTGTTGGCCTGCTTCCATCATCCCTAAAGCAGCATTAATTATTTTTAATGAAGAAATCCTTTCTGCTGCCAAATGACCTTTCTGAGATTCAGTGTGAGCTAGATTTTCCACTTCTTGCTTAGGTTCCAAGTTCTACAAATACACACGACCATGAAAGAGATTAGCACAGAGGAAACTGATGTGGACTGGTTCCTAATTCCAAATAAGAAAACTAATTGGAAAGGAGCAATTTACAGTTTGAAGGGAGTATAAGACCTCCCCTGGATTTCCATGACTGAACAACCCACTGCAGTTTCCTAGTTATAAACCTGGAACTCAATGATATTGTGCAACTCCTAACTACTCAGCCAATACCTAACACAAAAAAATTTGCTTTTCCAATAATGAGCAGTTGCACCTTGTAATTCCCCCACGTAAGGACACTGTACAAAAATGATTCTTCAGGATACTGCCTCCAACACCATTTCTGTGAACAGCCAAAATCCTACACCAAGTGTGATCACACTCCTGTAAAGAAGGAGGTCACATCACGCAGAGCTTTGTCCAACATACAGGATTAGCTTGAGGACTGCCAGCAGGATTGGGGATCCCAGGGGGGAGATGAAGGAAGTTACACTCCTTAGTCCAAGCAAACACAGTACTGTAAGCAGCTGCTTCTTTTTGTGGCTGTCCTCCCAGTTGCTTCTTTCTCCCTGAGCTCTGTGAAGGTGGGGAAAATGCTGTGTGGAAAGGAGTAGGTGGCTGTGGTGGGCTGGTCTGACCAGCCTTGTGTTCTTGCAGTGGAACTTCCCTTTGCTGATGTTGGTTTGGAAGATGGCACCAGCCCTGTGCTGTGGAAACACTCTGGTTATTAAGCCAGCTGAACAAACTCCTCTCACGTCGCTGTACATTGGCTCCCTCATCAAGGAGGTAAGGAAATCTGAACACCCCGTCTAGATACTGTGCTTTTAAGGTTGTAAGCAAGACTGTATTTTGAATTGGCTCTGTAGGTTTTTAGGTTTTTCAAGATGTTAAAGCCTCACAAAGGAAAGAATGCAACCTCTGTCTTCAGTCTTTTCTTACACAGGCCTTCATGACTGGCCGTGGCTGGGAGGTGGCAAAGAGCACAAAACCTGTAGGTTTTTCTTCTTTCTCAAGGAAGCTGCAGAGAGAAAAAACGGTGCTTTTATTTCTCTGCCTTGCCTTCCCCACTCCCAAATGAGAGAAAGACTATAGCTCAGTTTTATTAGACAATGGGACAAAAAAAAGGGGGTGATTAAGCAGCAGCTTTTTGTGCATTTCTAAGTGGGATAATTCAGCCAGGACAGGGCACCATGGGAAACAATTCTTCACAATTTCTGCAGTTCATGGAACAATTTTGCTACGTCTGGCCTGTAAAGCCAACTCCATACTGACATAAAGGGAAGGTTGGCATTTGAAATGGCAACTCAAAAACGTTGGTTTAGGGTTTGTCAGGCAGGATCTCAGGTGCCCTCAGATCTATTGATCATAGAGGGGTGGTGGGAGGTGCATCAGCTTTCTATAGCTATCATATAAGCTACCTGTGTGACTAATTGTGAGGAAAACTAAAAGCTGAGCTTTTGCCTCTCAGCTGGAGAAGTCTGTCTGTTAGGCTCAGTCTAATGATAATGATGACTTGGTTCTTGGCTTAGCCTGGGAGAAAATAGAAGGATATCTTAATAATGGACACTTAGGGCTCCTCTGTGAGGAAGGCACTGCAAAAATGCTGCCAGTTAAGTATCTCCTGTGGTTAATTGACTTCATAAGACTACACAAGATGAGTGAGCATAAGGTGCAGTTTCCATGACTTCTAGTTAGCCCTGCCACAGCACTGCTTTTTTCACTCTGACATACAGTTCCCAAAGTACAGGCATAGCATTATGCCCCCAAAAAGCCTCTCAGTTCTGGTGAAATTAGTTTTTTTTTAGCTTAAATTCTAAGCTGCCTGTTTCTCACAGTGTCCTTCAAGGCAGAACTGTAATTAGAGCAGAATAATTTTATTTGAAGATGCTCCTTTCTCCACCCAAAATTAGCTACATTCTTTGCCATTTTTCAGAAGAATAAGTTAAAGTTGGGGTCTTTTTTTAACCTTTAAAAGGATGCAGATGATGCTAACACACAAGCAAAGCTATGTGTTAGGTTCAGTGAGATAATTTTGGGCCAACCAAAATATTTTGGCTTAAATTTTTGCTGAAAAACAGAAAAAATGATTTGGCTCCGTGTGGCCTGAACCGATTTTTCTGCTTCCTTGTGGCTTTGTTGCTGCCTCCAAACACCATTACTTGCACAGTTTGACATGCAGTATTTTCTTGAAAACTCACCAGCCAAGATGCAAACTCTATGAAACTCAACTTTTATTGTTGTCACACCCATAGAAGAAACAATGCCCTTCCAATTTATGAAAATAAAAAGTAGGGGGGAAAAAAATCGTCTTAAGATAATTTTTTGCATGATGGGACATGCACAAATACTTCCATTTTTTTTTTTCTATGTTAGGAAGGACCAACTGCATTTATCAAGATTTTATGTTAAAAAGCCACCAGAAATGAAGTGAATGTTTACTATCCTGCAATTCCATTGTTAGCAGTTGCAGGGAAAGCAACCTTATGCAATCAGGAGTAGGGGAGGGCTAGCCTAGAAGAGCATAATCCTTGAAACTCTTGTTTCAGGAAGGGAAATCAGGCCAGTAAGTCCCACACTTCCCCTTGCACTAGAATTTCACCTAAAGTTTTGCTATTTGTCTCTCTTGGCAAAATTACTAGTTGGCTAATCTAGGTTGTAAATGTGGTGGAAACTGGCATAAGTCTGTTACCATCTGCTCTTGTATTCCTCTTTTATTAGCCCCATCATCAAGTGAGTTTTTACTGACTTCTTAATCCCTCTGGCCCCTGAAGAACCACAAATGTCAACCTTTGTTCAAAACAAACTTTCATTCAGTTACCCCTTGGCTCCAGCTGCACAGCAGTAGCTGGGGGCCAAGTTTGGCCAAAAGACTCACTTTCTTTTCACTTGAAACTGGGACTCCTCCAAGAATTCTTACTGAAACTTGGCATTTCCTAAGCATGGCTGTTACTTTCACCCATGTCTGCTCCAGCTGGTAGCATGCAGCCATGATACTGGGAAGTCTGGAATATGGTGATGTATCTGATATGGGCTCCTGGTCTGCAGCTTGCAATTCTTAATTGCAAGGAATAAGTGTGACTGATTCAAGCTTCCTAAGAACTGAATTGCAGCTCTCAGGAGTCCAGATCAGCTCAGAGTGCTCGAAATCTCTCTCTCCAGAGCTGGACTTTCCCTCTGTTTTAGGTGGGTTTCCCTCCAGGTGTGGTGAACATTGTGCCAGGCTACGGCCCCACAGCCGGAGCGGCCATTTCCACCCATCACAGCATTGATAAAATTGCTTTTACTGGATCAACAAAGGTAGGTGATGGATGTCTCATAAAACACCTGCAGTTCCTCTTTGCATTCTCTCCTAAACCTGCCACCTGTGTGATACTGCACCAAAGAAATGTTGACCACTTCTGTATCGCCCACACCTTTTTCCATCACATTCCATGCGACCAGATTTCTGAGAGTGTTTGGGATTTGTCTAATTCAGGCCTTCTGCTTGTGATAATCCACATCTCTGTTAACTGGGTTTTGCTCAACTGCCACATTTCTGTGAGAGCTGTAAGCAATAGCTGCTCTGACATGAGGTAAGACAGTGTACAGGAGAGGCTGGCAGTGACTTAACATCATGTCATTGACCTGATGGAGCTTCTGGGCACATTTGCCTGCCAGTCCTGCCCTGCAAGCGTGTGCAGCTGGAAAACATGTCAGTCAGAGCCCTGAACAATTCTTCCTTGGCTTTAGTTACCTCTGAGGAACTAGGACTTAAATAAAAACATGGCCCTGTGCCTGAGGCTTCCTCTGCTGACGTAGATGGGATTAACATTTGAGCTTCTTTTGAGACCTGCACAGTAAGGTGCCTTCTGTCCAGTTTTTTCCTGTAAATAGCTACAGCTGCCTTGCTTACAAGAGAGGTGGAAGTGAGACCTCTGCACTGTCACACATCTACAGCCGTGCTCTTCTGTACCTACCATGAGGGAAAGCAGAGCACGGCTTGGCCTAGTCCATGGAATTGACCCACAGCTGTGACATACAAACATATTTGTCTCCTGTAGTCACTGCTGAAAATACTCAAACAAAAGCTTGCTTAGAGATGTGAACATTTTTCCACTCTCTGCTCTAGATTTTTCTTGCAATATATACACACCCCGTGAAGAGGGGCAGCCTCCAAAGAATGGAAATGCTGACACCAGCGGGTTTGATTGAGGCAAATACAGTCTCTCCACTTTTATCTCCTGGAGTAACCCTATTCTTGCTGAGCATTTGCCGAGTTCATCCGTTTTCTGCCTGTCCTCATAACAGCAGAGTGTAATCTAATTGCATAACGATGACAAATTACCTCGAATGCTATTCTCGGTCGGTAAAGGTAACGCTGAGCACGGAAAAGCTGCTGCATTTAACAACAGTACCATCTAGTGGCTTGGTGTACGTGCTGACTGCTTCTTGTCCCATAGGAGGTGTGTTAAGCCTCTGCTTCTATACAGGGATCATGGGAACAAACAGGAACGCAATGAAATAGAAGTTCACAACGAGATTTATTCTCTTGATCATTGCTCTAATCCAAGAGTTTACCCAGTTACATGCTTCTCTCCAAATCCTAGATCAGAAACTTTTAGCCCAGATTAGGTGCTGGCTGTGTGAAAAGAATAAGAATGTATGGACTCACCCAGCCCACACGGATCTGTTTGGGTTTTTAATGAAAACAGTGTCCAGTGGAATAAGGGCAGAAGGAAAATCTCAGCTGCAGGACCCTGTAGGCAAAAAGCTCCTGCAGACACTGTGATTGTCTTCTTAATCCATGGGTGTGCAGGAAACACCGAGGGAGACAGATTCTTTGCTAATGCATGTGTAATTTAGAAGTGTTTTCTTCCCCCTCCACCCATCTGTGAGTTCAGCCGCATCTCTGCAGTATTTGCAGCATAATGCTACTGTTTCTGAGCCAGGAAGTGAAGCAAATTCAAAATACATTTTGACTTAGTTTTTAAGCCCCAGCTTGGGCTCAGCGCCAGTCTGGAAATACTGATCTTAAACTCCACATGAATTTTTCCAGCTACATTTCTTCCTTTCCCTTAGTTTATTAATTGGCCAGCTAGCTGGTAGTAAAGCCTCTTGCAAAGCTGTGTGTGTCTGCAGGATGATGCATCACTGGTTCCTGCTGTTGAGTGACTAGAGATGATCTGTACTGTAGGTTCAAGAGTCTTGCTTAAGTTACAAAGGCAAACCATAAGAAATGCAAACCTGTAACTGCTGGCCAACTGCCCCATGTTTTCCTTTCTCACAGCTCCACTCCAGGGCAAGAGTATTTTTAGGTAGAAATGAAGTTAATATTGCCATGTGCAAAGGTAAAATACAAGAAAAGCAGTTACAAAATGGGGGAATAAAAATATAAGGTCACACTTAAAAAAAATAACTTGTCTCAACAACTGAAGGTCACAAATGGTTTTAACTCATACACATTTCTAACAAAATTAGATTATTAAATTATTCTAATGCTTGATTTATGCTCTTCTTGTGAGGAATTCCATTTTTTAAAAACAGAAAAAGAAATTACTGGTTTTTACCAGTGTAAGAAAGAAATAGCTCAGTCAGAATTTAGGGGAAATATTTGATATGAATTAATTTCTCTGTGGGGGGAAAAAAAAACCTTAGTTGGACATTACTTTGATTAAATTCTGGAAGCAGAGTAAATCCTTCCCTTCAGGAGAGGGTGACTGTAATAAATCCCACCAGATGGTTAGAGCAGGTTCCTGGGCAGAAAGTGCCACAGCACAGCTAGCTGGAGTTTGTGTGTTGACATCCTCAGGTATTGCCTTGGGAGGAACATGTCTCAGCTGCTCTTGTGTGTGGAGCAGATCAGCCTAAACTGCCAGAAAGAAATAGTTTTCACCTAAATGTTAAAATCTCAATCTGGTATGAGAGTGGTTACAGATAGGAGCAGCGAGTTCTTATCATTGTCTTGGCAAGATCTACTCTAAGAAGTTGAATTCCCAGTTTTTGTAAGTAGAACTTGTAAACATTGATGCTCCACTGACTGGCAGTGTTGCTCACTAGCTTGCACTGGGTGGGAGATGCCTTGTCCTGCAGCTCTGGGTAGCAGATAACTTCAGATAGAGTTCATGCAGCTCTCCCACATGGCCTGCCCTTTCAGAGCTGCCAAGAGCAGGCTGCCCAGAGAGGTTGTGGAGAGAATCTCTGGAGAGATTCCAAACATTCCTGTGTAATTTGCCCTAGGTGAACCTGCTTTGGCAAGGGAGTTGGGTGAGATGATCTCCAGAGCTCCCTTCCAGCCCTTCCCTGCTATTCTGTGTTTCTGTGGCTGGTTTTGACCCAACACATCACAGCTGTAGGAAACTCAAATCATTTAAGAGTGCTATCCATGACTTCCACCTTCTTCAGCCACCACCAGGCCCTTTTACCCTTGTTAGCATCACACTTGACCCACTGAGTTAGATTTTCATGTCCTCTTTGTGCCTCAATGTTACAGGTTGGAAAACTGATCAAGGAAGCTGCTTCTAAAAGCAACCTCAAAAGGGTGACATTAGAGCTTGGAGGGAAGAACCCCTGCATTGTGTGTGCAGATGCAGACTGTAAGTATTGGCTGCTGGAAGAGACTAAGAGCATGGTGCTTTTTGTGTGTCTCTGCTGTCCTTTGGCAGCTGATGGAGCTGGTGTTTGCCACTGTACCCACCCAAAAGGCTGGAGGAAACTTCTGTCCAAGAGTAGGATGCAGTTCTGCTTTGCTAGACCTCTTGCCCACCACAGGGACCATTCCCATGGCAAATGAATAGACCATTTTACTGTTGCATTCCCTGGGGATGGCTGCAATTGCAGATAAATCTTACATTTGAGAGTTTCTGCTGGTTTTTTTTTTTTTGGTTGGCAGTACTCCTGAACCAAGCAGTGGAGAAAGCAGTTTTCTAAAATGCTGGGGAAGGGTCTAGAGCCCAGATATTGTGAGGAGCGACTGAGGGACCTGGGGTTGTTTTTAGCGTGGAGAAAAAGTGGCTCAGGAGAGACCTTCTCACTCTACAACTCCCTGAAAGGAGGTTGGAGCCAGGTGGAAATCAGGCTCTTCTTCCAAGGAACAAAAGATAGGACAAGAAGAAACAGCCTCAAGTTGTGCCAGGGGAGGTTTAGGCTGGACGCTAGGAAAAATTTCTTCACAGAAAAAGTTTCAGAGCCCTGGCCCTGGCCCAGGCTGCCCAGGGCAGTGGTGGAGTCTCCATCCCTGGAGGGATTTAAAAGACACCTAAATGTGGTTCTAAGGGACATGGTTTAGTGGTGACCTGGCAGTGCTGGGTTAACTCTTGGACTTGATGATCTTGATGATCTGCACAGCAGAGCAGAGGTTGAAAGCCATCTGCTAACAGTGAGCATTCCAAGGACCTGGTCCAGGCTGGCCGTACAACAGAAGGACCCACTGTGTCCTAAACAATCACGACTGGAACTGGTCTTCAGGAACCAATGCAGAGTGTCTAGGAATCCACATCTCAGTTCCCAGAGCAAGAAGAACTGGTGACTGCTCTCAGTGAGTCCTTGTGGAAGAGAGTATTGTGAGCTATGGCAAACTAGACCTTGAGACAAAAGGCAGGAAGGGGGATAAATAATACAAGATCTGATTTGGGGGCAGTTACGAGGCCTTCAATGGGTGTGGACCCTTGTCAGCATTAAAAGAGAAAGGAAAAAAAAAAAACCCAAGTCTGGAAAGCCTGGAAGGCTGAATCCATGCCTGTGGTAACACTTTTCCCTCCCGGGGCGTGTTGCAGTGGACTTGGCAGTGGAATGTGCCCATCAAGGCGTGTTCTTCAACCAAGGGCAGTGCTGCACGGCCGCCTCGCGGGTCTTCGTGGAGGAGCAGGTGTACCCCGAGTTCGTGCGGCGCAGCGTGGAGTACGCCAAGAAGAGGCTCGTCGGAGACCCCTTCGATGCCAGGACTGAGCAAGGGCCCCAGGTAACTGTGTGCCTGAGAGCAGTTATTGTTTGGGTCCTGGTCGTGTTTTTGTTGACTTTTCCCTGTGTCAATATTATCCTTACCAATACGGTGCCGTCAGAAGTGCCGCGGGGTGAGTAATGCATCGTGGCTTTAGTTTTCTCTCTATTTTAAATATCAATTAATCACAACTGTTGAAATGTTATGTTGTAATTTTTTTTTTAAACACAAATGCATTCCGTTGGGTTCCTATCCAGCTCCCTGGCAGGGGCTGTCTCCCTGCTGCAGTAATACAAAGCACGTTGCAGTGAGCAATAGCAACGCACAGCAGAGTGCAGCTGTGGAAACGGCCACTCAGCTGCTTGGCCGTGGTGGTGATGACAAGCCCAGGGACTCCTGAGTCCCCACTTTCCCTCTCTTTTCCTGAGCCTTTGGAGAAGTTTTGGCTGAATGAGCAGGAAGAACCATGCCAAGCCACTGTCACGACCAACCTCGTCAATGCTTCCAGAGCATTCCTCTTAGTTCTTCCTTCTGAAGCAATCTGAGCTGTGGTGGGGTGCTCTGGAGGAAGATGATCATTGGGTCAGATCTTCTAACAGGGACATTGTTTGCTACCATAAATGAAGAGGGGATCCCTGTCTATAGCCTGGGCCTCCAGTTCTCAGTGCTGCACTGTGATTTTTTCTTCTTTGATGCTATGTAGGATCTCTCAGAGAAGGGATGGCTGTGAGGACATCTGCCTCCCCTTACCTGGATCATTTACACATGAGTCATGCATGGCAAAACCTCATTGCATGTCCTCATGCACGGGGAATAAGGTGATGTACATCCCCTGCTCAATGCTGACACCACATCTGTCCCTGTAACTTGCCTAGACAGAGATTTCAAGCAGCTTGGCAGTCCTTAGGAGAATAATCCCAGGCTGGAACTGGTGTTGGCAGAGATGAGCTGACCCCCAAACCTCAAACATTTCAGGGTCTGCTCTTACCTTCTGATAAGGGCTGTCAGCTTTTCAGGTTTGTTTGGTTGGTTTTTGCTTGTTTGGTTGGTTGTTTTTTAATATAACATCATCCTAAGCCTTATCCAGTAGTAGCAGAAGGTGAGCTGCATTTGTGGTCCTGTCAGGACTATGGCCACTTGGCTGCTCTGGCAGATCACTGATCTCATGAGAACAGCCCTTGAAATCACAGGGAGTAGTTGTGAGGTTCTAAAGGGTGAAACACTCTGCCCTGGGCAGAAACTGGGATGCTTATTTCAGTTCATCCATGCTCCCAGCTCTGGCCAGGCTCTCAGAGCACTTCCCAGTGAGCACTATGGCAGGGCATCATCCTCTGGTATCTCCACTGTGGCTTGAGGGAGAATGTGACAATGAAGGGTAACAGGAAGTCAGAATAGTGGTGTCTGACCAGATTTTAAATATGGCCCATCTGTCCTCTGTCCCTGTCCTGGCTTACCTGTTACACTTGCAACTAGGGGAGACACACACCACACCCCGGAACTTCTGGGCATGCAACAATCAAGCCCAGGTTGGGAAAGTGTTGAAAGAGTGGGAGGAAACTGTTAATCCCAAAGCTTTCATGTGGCTGTAGGTGCAAAGGAACAACCACTTCCTCTGTGGCCATGGTTGCTCGCTCTCTGGAGCCTACACTGTAAGATGCAACACACAGAAACTCAAACAGAAGAGAGAAATGATGCAGTATCACAAGGGCTTAAAATACCTTCAAAAGTAGCAAAGATTCACACCTGCCCACAAGTTACTGTGCAAATGGGAAGCTTTCAGATCAACCTTTTCCTCTGTTCCTGAAGGAACCTGCTGTGCTGTGAAGTGAGGTTTGCCTTTTTTTTTTTTTTCTTGAGCTGATGGATAAGGGAAGAATCACCAGGCAAAATAATCCATTTTCCTGTTCTTCATCTCTCCCCTTCAGGCCCTAGTTGCTTCAGGTCCAGGTCGTTGCTTTCATTCTCCTTCTTCATGGGTCAAGGTGAACATACACCCCAGCACTACAAAACTGGTCACATGCTGCTGGGTAGACCCCACTCTGGGATGGTCACTGGCTTGAGGAGCCAGCAGTGGGAAGGAGGTGGAGCCAGCCTTTAGGCTGACAGTGCTTGTAGCCCATGATCCTTTTGGTCCTACATCAGCTCCACGTGCTTGCAGGCAGCCAGCAGCCCCTGCAATACAGAGTTCAGTGTGAGATGGGAGAGGTTCTGCAGTCCAGGCTTTGAGCTAGTGCTCCTTGAAACCAAGCTGCACCATGGCTGGGCACAGTGCTCTAAATAACTGCTGAGACAGCCTGGTGCAGGACAGCATGGGGCAACAGGACTTAAAGTTGAGGTAAACCAGTCCTGGGAAAGTGTGTGTTCCTGTATGGCACTGCAGTTATGAAGTAGATGGGGGAACTGGCTGGTTCAGGTCTAATCCAGCCTCTCTGGAAGTGAGGAAGAAAGGGTTTGCTCAGGTCAGCTCCCTGATGTGGATTACTGTGCACTGGCACCGATGCTCGTGGCACAGGCATGGGGAAAATACTGTGTCAGCTGCAGCATTGGGTGGTGGTGGTATAAATTGCACTGCTCTGATCAAAATTAGGTCAAATTTAAACAGTATTAAGTTTAAACAAAAATGAGACATGCTTCTGATGAGACCTCTCCAAAACTCACATATGTCTGACTCTGTTGGCTGGCTGGAATTCAAAGGACACCACAAGAAACTTGAGGGGTGCTCAGGACTGTTTGAGTAGAGTGCCAACCTAAAATGTAGACCAAGGGCATTTTGTAACTTTGGATTCCTGTGAGCTGTATCACAGGAAGCAATAAAATCATGCTGCAGGGATGGCAAACTGGTTAACCAGTGCCTTATACAGCCAGTGCAACACACATCCAGACTGCCTTAGGGGAGACCAGTGTCCTGGTGGACTAGAACAGGGATTAGGAAAAGACTGGACTAGTTTTGCTATTGTAGAAGCCCAGATACTGGGATTTGTGGACTACAAGACCTGGTCTACAGGAATAAAATGAGCACTAAGGCTGCCTCATGGCACTTGCTAACCAGCAGTTATTCACCCCAAAACCTACTTGATTTTTAAGGGGATGAATATTTTCCTTAGACTATAGATATTTGTATACTTTAGGATTAAAGCATGAAAGTAAAAGATGGAAGTAGAAAGAATCTACTTTCTGTGGTTATTCTGTAGCTTTGGGAAAAGGAAAAACTGTTCCTCACAATCTTGGCTTAAATGAAGCAAGGTATGAAGATTTGGGGGTTCTCAGACTTTCAGCATTGCAGTGATCTTTAGAAATCTTCCTCTCTTTTAAATTAGATGGACAAATAGTAGAATTTGCCCTACCAGGTCATGTGTTTCTAATAGAAGTCAGTGCTGGAACCATAAATAATAGTGGAGTAGGGGACAGAATTTAAACAAGCCTTGCAAGCTCTAGTTACAATGACAAACAGTTCCACCCTTGCATGTCATTTTTACAAATGTTTTCTTTCCCCAGTGTCTTTTCATCTAACTATAGTTTGCCTTGCAACAAGTTACAGCTGTATAAATATCCTTGTTTTGTTTTCTGTGATGTGAAGTGGATGAACTGGATTGGTCTGGATCACAGACATGCCAGGTTGGAAAGCACTTGCAGATATTTTCAAATTATTTACTTTTGGCAACTAAGCAACCAGAGAAATAGACAATATGTATGACACCTGCCAAACTTACTGTGTGCCACTCTGTATCCTACATGAGGGCACACATTTTCTTGTGCAGTAGCATCAAGTGATTTCTTGGGTAGCATCTTAACAGATGAGAGGACGTGAGCACTGAGCACAGGCTGTGCACAGTGCACGTGCTACGTGTGTCTGTGTGGCAGGAGATGTGCTGTTCTGTCTTTGCTGTGTACCAGAAGTACCCCAAGGACACCCTCCTGAAGCTTTGATATTTGTTTAGAAGCATGAAAACGTGGATTGCGTGTGGCCAGGATTAACTAGGGACAGGATATAGTCTGTAATCTGGAGGAGTTGAGTGTGGAACACCCCATGGAAACGGTCCCAACTGGCAACTGGCCCTGCCAAAATAAAAACAGATGCCTGGGAAGGGGTCTTGAACCAGTATGAGCATCTGGAGATACCTGGCATTCAGAATAACCTCCCAGACTGCCAGGACACCTTGAACCAGTGAGGGGAGTCTCTTATTTAATCACCTCAGTGCATTTGTTGAGGTTTTTGTTAGTTTTACTTTCTTAAAACATCTCCATATAAACCTTTTACCATTTTCAGTGTGCTGTGATGAGGTGTTTCATCACTTCATCGTGCATCCCCTGAACAGCCACATCTATTTGTCTGCAACCTGATGGTACCTGCAGTACACTGCTGCAGGGGGAGCACCAAAGTAGGATCAGCACTGATCAGAAGTGCTGTGGGCTTCTGCACCTCTTCCCAGCACACGACCCACGTTGCCTGTGGAGAACATGGTGTCTCCTCCAAGTCCTGGTGCAGGGCTGCACAGCTGTGTGGCTTCAGTGTCCTGTAACTGCACTGGCCTTTCCCCACCTCCACTGGAACTCCTGGTTTGAAGTCTAGTAACACAACAGTACTTGCTGTTTGAGGTTACTGCATGTTTAGGTGTGGGTGGGGAGGAGTTAGGTAAGCTTGGCAGTTAAAAGTGAGGAGATGGCTCCCAGTCCAGAGAACTGAAAAGTGCTGGGATGGTACTAGTCTAAGACCCATGAAAAGTGATTCTGGTTTTAAAAGTATGGATTCAGTGCAGTAGTTGTTCTGAGGTCACCTCACTAATAGAGCTTGTCTTGGTTCATATAGCATGTGTGGAAGGAGGTGGAGGCAGAGCCCACAGGGTTCCTCCAGCTGGGGACAGGTAGCTGTGGGTGAGGCTGCACGTTGCAGCAAAGTCAATGGAATAGCTTGTACACCCTGACTGTCCCTCCATTGAGCTGCTTCCATTGCTGGTCAGATCCCTCACTGAGCTGACAGGTCACTAGCCCAGCAGGACCCATCTCAGGCTGTACTGGTGCTCCTGAGCTAAACCAGTGCATGGAGACCATCAGTAAGTCCCAGAGCTGGAGCGAGGTGAGCCATGGGAGTGCAGATCCAGGATGTGGAGGAAGGGAAAATGAGGACACCCCCCATGTGGCAGCAAATTATTGCATCAGATTAAACTATGACATGTAACTTCACCTTCTGTTTTCTGTGGCCCTGGGCTACACCCTGTCCTGTGTCTCGGCGTGGTTCTTGCCTGCCAGCTGTATCACAGACTGAGAGGAGAATTACCTGCTCTGACAGTGCCCTGCAAACCTGCCCCTGGGCCACGTACCGTCACTCCAGGCTCTGCAACAGTGACAACGAAGGCTCTGCTGTCTGTTTCTTTTCCTTTTGTATCCCACAGATTGACCAAAAACAGTTTGATAAAATCCTGGAGCTGATCGAAAGCGGGAAGAAAGAAGGGGCTAAACTGGAGTGTGGGGGTCTTGCCATTGAGGACAGAGGCCTGTTCATAAAGCCCACTGTGTTTTCAGAGGTCACCGACAACATGCGCATCGCCAAAGAAGAGGTACAGTGCCAGTCTCCTGAGACTGTCCAGCAGTAGCCTACTGCTGAAATCCATGCCATTAATGAAATATGAACAAAAATAACTGAAACTGTAGCAGATGGGAGGAATTCTACATTTTCTTTGCCCTGAAGTTGGAAGGTTTTCTGAAACCAGAGTTAAACTCTCAAGTGAGGTTTGCCTGGATGGTTGCTCGAGCTGCGTGCTCTTCCACACCTCCTGCTGCTCTTCCACACCTCCTGCTGAGGGCACTGGAAATTGCTCAGCTGTGGTATGTGCTGACCAAAGTGACAGAGGACAGTAGAATCTTAGAATCCTAGACTGTTTTGGGTTGGAAGAGACTTTTAGAAGTCATCTAGTCCAACCCCCTGCACAGAGCAGGGACATCTCAGCTAAGGCAGGTTGCTCAGAGCCCCATGTTCTTGCTCCACTACTTTATAAAAAAAAAGAGTTGCTTTGTTGCAGAAAGGTGGGACAAGAACTCTGGAACCTGAAGCTGGTGAAGAGGGAAGGAGTGGCCCTGCTATAATGCCACTGAAAAACTTTTCTCAAGTAGCTTTTGTGTCTGAAATAATCCCAGATTCTGTTCTCATGGTGAAATCCCCTCAGGCTGACCATTTTTTTCCTGTATGAAAACATGATCGAAGCCAGCAAAGTCCAGGTCTAATACTCTGGCTTTCATTACTCATATGCAGAAAAACTGAACAAGCTGCATGTGATTAGATCCTGTGATATTCCTTTGAAATAGAAGTTAATCTACTTTTCATCATGCTCTCCAATGGAAAATAAGTAGTTTCCAAGGTCTAACTGGCACTTGTATTTCATAGTTTAGCCTAGTGCTTTTTATGGGGCTGCTTACTGTTCACCCCTGGCAAAATGTTCAGATGGCTCAGATCTGCCACAGAATCTCTAAGGAACCTGGGATAGATATCAGTCAGCCTGGGCATGAGTTACATTCTAAAAATAGAGGGAATAAAAGCTGAAAATCCCATGACAAGCCTTTTTTTAATGAACTGACTCCAAAACCCAAGTCATGACTCAAGAAGCTTATCCAGTTTCATTCATTTGCAGTTTTGTTGCAAATGCACGTTCATCCTTTGTTAGGATCAAGGCTCTGGTTAAATACCTGAATCTCCCAAAGTGAAGAGATTTGGAAACACTTGTATGAGCCTAAAATCAAGCAGACTGCTTAGTGTGGCCATCAAGGTGGCACAAATGAGACTGTATTTCATCTTCAGTGGGGGTTTATTGCGCTGCAAAACCATGCAGGCCAGAAAAGGGCCCCTCCTTTGATACTGAACTTGATGAGAGACTCCATGCCAGAAGTTGGGAAGTACTGTGTATATACTGGCAACCTGGGAAGCCAAGCTGGTGGTCAAACATGTATGTGGTAAATGCTCTGCATGCAAATAAAGTGCATACAATGGCAAAACCAGGGTTACAACCGAGGAAGAAAACTTGCAATCCTTGCAGTATATTCATTACTTTCTGAGTATACTCAACTGCTGAGTTAAAAAGGAGAGTCGTAAATGGAGTAAAGATGAATCCTTTGAAACCTGTCCAGATCTTACTCTGCTTATTTGTATTCTTCTAGATGATCCATTAGTTGCTGGATCTTAGCATCTATTAATTACTACAGCACATCACTGCACTTCCTTTGAAGTCAGTTTAATGAGGAGTTTTTAAGAGACTATCAGTGACTTCTAGAAAGCTGGATGTAACATTTTAAATATGGTATCCAAACAGAGCATCTGATTCAGATTACTTCAAAATTACCACAATTAGCAAAGAGTTTCCTGTACTAACCTTTCATTGATACGTGCAGATTTTTGGGCCAGTTCAGCCAATTATGAAGTTCAAGAGTATAGAAGAGGTCATAAGAAGAGCCAACAGTACCGAGTATGGACTTACAGCCGCAGTGTTCACAAAGAACCTGGACAGAGCTCTAGCGCTCGCCTCCGCTCTCCAGTCAGGGACTGTCTGGTAAGCACCACAGGGCACACACAGTCTGGTCAGAAATGGGCCATTTGTTTGTTCCATCCATGTCCTCCTTCGTCTGGAAGACTCTGAAAATGTAGGGGTTGTAGTAAGCTCCAGCAGACCTGATGCCTTTCAAAATTCTGTACGTCCAATAAAAACTATTCTTGCCATCTTTAGGCAGCATCAGTTAGGGTCTTAGGTGCACAGATCAGTCTGGACAGTAGATGGCATCACACGACTGTCAGAAAGATAAGTAGCTCTTTTTGCTTTTAAAATGTTTTATTTTACATTAGAATCATAAATATGGAATCTTGATATTTTAAATTTTTTTTACCCCACCCAAAATAGGTATTTGAACTGGTATCTTAATTTTGATGCATACAGAGGATTGATTTCAAGAATCGATGCTAGAAGAATTTACCTCTGAGTAACATTTACATAAAGATTGGGATGTTGGGCTTTGAAGGATACAAAGCTTGGTGCTTGTAGATCAGCACCAAGCCATACCTGTCTCTCTCCAGCCATTTGGTCTTTCTCAGATGCTGAGGAAGTATCTGCATTAGCTTTTTCTACTTTGTGTCTATAGAGATGGGGCTGGTGCTTTCATTTGACTGTGACACAATTGTTTAACACAGTCCAAGTTCTTTCTATACCTGGAAGTGGATGGTGGGGGCTGCTTGTTAGTGTTTAGACAGCTTGCTGAGTAAATGTGTTCATTTCAGAATCTGCTTCAGTAAACTAGGGAATAAGTTGGACTATTGAAGTGTGGCTCTGAACAGAGCAGAAGTTCCAGCTCAAGCGGGAATGTCTTAGCCACTAGAGGCTATGAAGGTCAGAGTACCACTCAAATGTTTTCTGTTGCTATAGGAAAATCAGATTTTATTGCTAATATCTGATTTCTCAAGAGAATGAACTCTATAAAGAGAAAGTTGACAGATTCTAGAGGGGTTTTTTTTGTGTTGCTGGTGTTATCTTCTTGCTTCTCCTTGGTATTGAATTGTCTTCTAACAGTTGATGTTTTTATTGTAGGATCAATTGTTACAATGCGCTCTATGCACAGGCTCCTTTTGGTGGCTTTAAAATGTCAGGCAATGGCAGAGAACTGTAAGTTTTGCTCAACATTTTCTTTAAATGTGGATGGTCAACCTAATAACAATTGTGACTCTGTGAAAATATTGTTGAATTTGCTTCTAAACCATCAAGCTTGCAGTGAGCTACACAGGGCGGTGCTGAGCCACTACAGCGTGGACGTAAAGCACAGATGTGAGAACATGAGTGGTGCCTTCAGGAGCTCTTAGTAACTCCAGTTCTGTCAATTCCACTTGCAGACATTTTTCCTCACCACTTAGATTTTTAGACCAAGGGAAAGATCAAGGCTGGGGATGCTGGTATCCACCCCAGACCTCATCTATCTTGCTATGGTGGTGTCTGGACCTCTCTTAACTGCTGTATCATTGCTCCTGGTTGGACCTCTTCCCACCTCTGACTTTCTAAGGTTGGAGCTAGAAGAACAAGGAACAAGACCAAAATATTTACGTATATATTGAAACCTTATGGTTTATTTTGCCCAACTGCCTGGCTAATTAAAGGATGTCAGGGGTTTATCCCTTGGGCAAGGCACGGGAATAGAGCCAGTTTCCACCAACCAAGACCTAATGCAGTGGTGGGGTCTGTCCTCAGTATGTGCTTCTGGAGCAACTGTGTCCTCTTGATTTTAAGGCATCTTGGAGATAGAAGCTTACTTGCAGTGAAAAAGTAACTTTACTGTCTGAGCACTGACAGCTATGTTAACGTGGAGGTTTCTTCTACGGGTTCTCACAACAGTCCTCCATTTTCACTAGGCAGAGGGTCAGAAGGTGTCATCTTGTGGGTTACTGTGAGCTGCATGTTTCTTTCACAAGAGGGTGTAGTTGTGTGTGCTCCTGTGCGTGCACGTAGCGGTTATTAGATGCATCGGGCTAAACTGATAGCTGGTGTTTGTTCAGCTCTGGTTTTGATGGCCTGATGTCATCTACAGCAGCTGTCAAGCAGTGGCTAAAATGCACTTGTGTAGAAATCTCTTCTTCTAGAGAAGTCCACGTGGACACGCTGCAACTGTTGGTCCCTTTCCCTCCTCTCCTCTTTTCCAGCGGTGAATACGCCTTGGCAGAATATACCGAAGTGAAAACGGTCACCATCAAACTCTCCCAGAAGAATCCATGAAAACAGAAGGCCTAAAATGCTGACACTCTGAATGTGACAGATGGGGGACGTGTTCAGAGCAAGGGGGAGGGGTGGGGCAGGAAGGGAAATGGAAGCACCTAACTTTATTCCTCTAGAAACACTGAATCTGCTGGACTCCATTTCATCAGCTGGCTCTTTAACTGACCCTACTGGCAGCACAGCACACCCTTGTACTGTACAAGCCCCTGGCTGTACATCTACTTGTGCTACCTGTGACTGAAATGCTGGTCAGTCACAGTGCTTGCAGGACATCTGCTTTCAAACTGTACTCCTGAAGGACATGGTCACCAATGGCGTGGTAGAGAGACTTCTGGCACCATCATCGTGGACTGTTAAACACCTTCAGAGGCATGTGGGATTCACTTGGCACAAATGGACTCGAGTGGTAGGGTTAATACAACTTGCCTGAAGTTGGCAGAGTTTGTGTGAAAATTGCAGCTGGAGTTTGGGAGTATGAGCTTTCATGGAAGGATCTGTAAAGAAATTGTCTTTGAAAGAGCTATCTTGGTCTCTCTAAAGATACAGGCGTTCTCCACACTGGTGATATTCTAGCCCTGAATGAGATTTGTGGGAGTTTCCCAGAGGACTCCTTTGGGGCCAGTATTTCACCCAACAGAGCTGGACTTTAAAGTGTCCTAGGAACCTGACGTTAAGGTGTGCACACACTGCACATGCTGCAAATGCAAGTTACTGACTTGCTAAACCTGCTGGCTCCAGACGAGTCACAACTGTAGCTCAAACCTTCACTATGGCACTTTTTGCAAGAGGATTTTGCACTGTACTTACCGTGATGACACCGAGTTGAATGCTAAGCATGTAGCATTGTAGATACCCCACAGAAAACATCCCACACCAGTCCTGATCTCACAGAGAGAGGGCAGAAGAGCTGCAAGAAGCTGTCCTGCTCTCTCCTTCTCTGTAACTTTCAGGCTATGTTAACATCCCTCCATGTTTTGAGCCAGAGCTATTATTATGAGAGCAAAACTTGGAAGCTCTTCTCACTGCTTCTTTATCCTATATGAATGTAGCTTAAAATACATTTCTGGAAGTACAGTATGGAAAGGTAGGTGCTCCCAAGCACACACTGAGTGCTAAAGATGTGGGTGTACAAACCAGTTGCCATGGAATAAGCTATGGCTGGACTTAAATGTGTCAGCAGCTTTGCAGTAATGGTCCTCGTGAGCGCTGTCATCTCGTGGCAAGCTCAAGGCAGCAGATCCTTCTCTTGAGAATATGTTGCCTTGAGCTGTCACTTGCTGTCAGTTGTATAAGCATCCATGGAGCAGCTGTCACACCAAGTTCATGCCTTAGTATCTCCTGCAGTAACTTCTCTGCATGCCTAGACTTTACTCTGAGGTGAATGACAAGCCACATGCTGTCTTCAGTTCCTGGGGTCACTACTTTCCCTCCTCCTCTTCCCAACCCTATACTGGAGAACCACTGCCAAATGTATGGGAAGTTCCTTGTCCACAGGAGCTGCAAGTGCAGGAGTTAGTGGTGTCAGCTTGTTAGGAAGTTCAGCTGGTCTCACTGGGATTGTCCTCTTGAGAGCAAAGAGAGGTTCCTCGTGGCACATGGAGTGGCTCTGCTCCACAGAGCACTGCTGGAGATTGCTGCCTGGGGTTTTGCAGGTGTCAGGGCTGGGAGCAGAGATGCAGGTGTAACCTCTGTTCTCTGATGCAAGCACAGATTTGACCAGTACCTTCCTTTGCTCAGAGAAACACCCGGTCAGCAACCAGCTCTGTTGCATGAGTGGACCTTTTGTTTTGGAGGAGGAAGGAAGGTGGGTGGCGATAAGTAAGGAAAAAGTTTGCATGAGCCTAAACTTCCTTATTAGTGAACATTGAAATTGCACTTCTACACTGCTTCACTTCTTAAGTGACATACCTCCAACAGTTGGATACAGCTAGGTGCCTGTCCTCCCACGGGTGTGAGACAGGTGAATCTCCCCATCCGGTGAAGAAACGTCCTCCCTTCCCCAAGAAAGGCCAAATGGGAACATTGTAAATAAGTTTCTATTTTTGTAAAACGCTTTGAGTGCAAACATCTTCTCAGACAAACATTTTACTTTTGCCTACTTGATGGTTTTCTCGGGCTGCAGTCAGACAGTAGGGAGGGAAGGCAAACAGTAAAAGGCTGGTTATCTTGATGTATCTCTGTATTAATTCTTTTATAAACCATGGCTGAAATGGAAATCATCTGAAATTCTTTAAACCCTAGTATTCTGGCTTTACATGTATGATATCTATTTCACCTTTTTTTTTTTCCTCTCTTATCAAGTTTTTTTAAAAGTCAATGTATCTCTTATTGTATAAATCAGGGTCTGACTCTACACACTGAATTTTCTAAATTATATAACACTAGACACTAACTTTAAAATAACCCCTTAGAGGGTATATATTCTTTCATTGCACAGTAAGGCTTTCATATGAAATACTACTTTTTGTTTTGTTTTTAAAAAAGAACTATATTTATAAATTAGGATACAGTTAATCTAATGTATTTTTATAGCTAAGAGTACCTGAAAATGCTATGTTTAAACCTCATGTATATATTTAGACTCTGGGTATCTTTTTGTAATAGTTCTTGTTCCTAATAAATGTTTAACTTTGTGAAACAGTTTCTAAACTCTACATATTGATGCTGCTCAGAAACGAAGGTGGGGGAGAAGTAAACTATTATTGACTTTACTCATTTCAACAGAGGAGTAACTTGAATGCTTTTTTATTTACACTGATTAGTAAGATAATTCCAGCCCCTCTAATGCACGTGTTAAAACCCCTTACTGTCAGCAAGCAACTTCCACCCAACTCAATACTCCTGCCACTGTTTTTATTTCACTCTGAATTCAGCCTGTTGTGTTAATAAAAGTCAACACTGGAAAGGGTTCCATGCTTCTAAAACAAAATGTCCCTGTGCTGCTGTGGTTCCAGGGGGCTCTTCCCTGGGCAGCACTGTGCCTCTTCTCCTGGATTCAGTGGCAGTCCCCAAGCTGAAACGTGCTCTGGGCTCAATGTCATTTCAAGGCACCCTTTCCATGGCAGACCTGAACACAGAGTGCGTCTGCCTGTGGGGATTCAGCATCTCAAGGGGGCACCTGAAGGAATCTGGACTTGGATTGCTTTCTGCAGTGTGTGAAGAATTAGCCTATATTAGAAAATAAAGTGCTGAAGCGCTGTCAGTGCCCTACCCATAAAAGCTGGAGTGTGTCTGACAGCTCACCCGTGGGACAGTCACTTCTGCAAGCTGTGCCATTTACAGCAAGTGGAGGGAGAAGGAGAGCAGAGCTGCAGCTGGCAGGGGCAAGCACAGCTTCTTCCAGGCAGATGGATCCTTTTTGCCTTCTAAGGTGAGCCTCAACAGGAGGAATTTGAAGAGACTGTGGACCACAGCGCCAGATGGGGCCTCCTGCCTTCGTCTGGCTGCTTCCTAAAGTCCCCTGAGACACATCCATCACTAGCATGACTCTGCTAAGCTTGTTCCCAGTCTTGTCTTATCTCCCTTGTCTGCAATGTAGATAGAAAGCAAGAACATACCAATACCATTGTCTTTTAACTATTCCCACCCAATGCACTTTGAGAAGTACTTTTCATCTCCCCACACAGGGCAAGCCAAATTCTTGAATTTTCCACTTCCTAACAGCATCACCCAGAAGCTTTTAGACTTCAGAAGGCTGGAGATACAAAAGAATTACTGAGTGATGAAATCAATGGAGAAACCAGGAAAGGCAGGATGAGATTTGAGAGGGGCAAAAAAAGGGAGGGGGGACACGGGGGGAGAGAAGCTTAAGTGTGTAGTGAAATTATTGCTAGGGGAAGTTAAGAGTCTATGTCAAAATAAAGGAAAAAAATAAATATTTTAGTGGGTTTTCAAATAACTGTGCTAAAAAAGCTGTTGGAAAGGTCTGGGTAAAGAGCCAGGCCATGAGACATAAAAGACAGCAGACTGGGCAAAATGTGGATAAGGTGTTAAAAACAGGTAATGCTACTACAGCTGCAGCTAAAAGCAGATTAATGGGGACCTGAACGCTGGTAGAAGCACCAGCGAAGACCCGTGTCTCCATGATCCCATCAAAGAACCACTCTGGGCACACCTCAGCCTGCAGCAGCTGTTCAGTGAACAGATACAACTTTCTCCATCCTCAAAGCAACCTAGTAGGGTAGGAAAAAGCCCTTTCTGTACGTAATTTACAGGATCCTTATGAGTAACAAAGCCAAAGGCATTCAGAAATGGCCTTTTCTTAGCAGGTCCAATGAGTGGGGGAAATAAGGCAGTGTTAGGCTTGAGAGAAGTTCCTGGAAGCCGGAGATGAGGGAAAGCTGTGCCCAGCTGGAGCACAGTACGTCCAGCAGCTTCGGAAGGAAGAGGGCAATCTCGCTTTGCTTTTCCAGAGAGGAGCAAACTCATCTCGCTGCGGTCTGGGGAAGGAGGAACTGCCAAGGCCAGAGATTTGGATCAGCGGTGTTACGGTACAGACAGGCCCCTGCGGGGAGCGGTGCTGCGGCCACCCCTGCCTGCACCCGGGAGCGCCACCCGGCACCTGTCTGTGGGGGCCGAGGCCACCGAGACAACCTGCTGCAGCTGCGAGGGTCCCGCCTCAGCGCCCACGACTCCCATAGTCTGGTTTTTCCTCAAAAAACCTCAAGGCGAAAGAGCAAAAGCCCACGCAGGGCCTGCCAGTGAAGCAGGCGGACGCCGGTCCCTGACGGACGAGGGGGTGCTGGCTGGGGAAGCCGCCCAGGCGAGGGGCTGCCCTGTGCCCTCCTCACGGGCTCCAGGGCACCGAGGGAGGTGTCCGCCCCCGCAC